TTCTAGAAACGATAAAACAAGAACCTTCCATAGCGAACAATTCGATGCTTCTACGCTTTCGTCTGCGAGCAGCCGACTGCTATATAAAGGCGACACTCAGCTGCAAGTCAAGTCAGTGATAAAGTAAACTCGTTGGCGTTAACATCAGTAAAATCGTAAAGTAAACGTGTTGGGATTACATTTGGGTAGAGTAAATTGTGAAAGTTGATGATAGTGATTGTAAATAATTAAGTGTATTGTAATTGAATTGTGAATTACGGAGTAAATAAAGGATATTAGATTAATTCTTTATAACGAAAGATACTGCAAATTGCATTGGCGAGTTTTTATTTAACAATCCGGAGATCGTACCCGAAGGATCTAGAAAATAATCGAGGTTGATTTAGTAAAATCGTAACAATATATTATATCGTACGTTCTTTGTATGCGCATAAAAATACAACTTAAATATGGCAGCACTTTAAATTAGTTGGCATCCGAAAATCTATTACAATCGGTTATCGAGTCCGGCGCAGCACTTCGAAAGAAGAGTGACACTCTGCCATTTTGTCAACGCTCCCAGTGGCATCCACAACGTAAGTTAATTCGGCTTCAAGGAAAAGGGCAGTTTATTAAGCAAAGATGTGAAATTTATAGCAAAAAGTTAGTGTAATATATTACAGAAATAGTTTAATTCAATAATTACTTAATACATTAGCTTTTTAAACTAATTTAGAAACTTATTTGTCTCTTGAGTCGTTGACACGTGTGTGCCTCACTTTGAGGTTATGCGCTACAATATGTACTGGATATTAACTTTATTGCTTTGTTTTTTCTCTACAGGTTCCGTAACTCATAATACGTTAAAATGTCGGGAGGATTAGATATATTATCTCTCAAAGAGGATGACATTACTAAAATGTTGGTGGCTACCACCCATTTGGGTTCTGAAAACGTCAACTTCCAAATGGAACAGTACGTTTATAAGCGCCGTTCTGATGGTGTAAACATCATAAACCTTGGCAAGACCTGGGAAAAATTGATGTTGGCTGCCCGTGCCATCGCCGCTATTGAGTACCCACAAGACGTAAGTATTTTATTAAATCTGCAATAATATTTATATAATGTGTGTGTGCACATGATGATTTATCTAATCTTTCGGGTCAGAAATTCAATGATCGACAACCTAACCGCTGATAGCACACTTAAAAATTTTTTATTCTATGATATTAATTTAAGTCATGCTGAGAAATTGTACTTATATATGAATTTTTGTATGCATCTTACAGGTCTTCGTCATTTCGTCGCGTCCAATCGGTCAACGTGCTGTACTTAAATTCGCCAAATACACCGATACAACACCCATTGCTGGCCGTTTCACACCTGGTGCATTCACCAATCAAATTCAACCAGCTTTCCGTGAACCACGTCTATTGGTTGTAACTGATCCAAATACCGATCATCAACCCATCATGGAAGCTTCTTATGTCAACATCCCCGTTATTGCTTTCTGCAATACTGATTCACCTTTGCGTTACATCGATATTGCCATTCCATGCAATAACAAATCTCCTCATTCCATTGGTTTGATGTGGTGGTTGTTGTCTCGTGAAGTGCTCCGTCTACGCGGAACCATCTCGCGCGTCAGTGAATGGCCCGTGGTTGTCGATTTGTTCTTCTACCGCGATCCCGAGGAGGCTGAAAAGGAAGAAGCTGCTGCCAAGGAATTGCTGCCCCCACCTAAAGTGGAAGAACCTGAGGTTGTTGTTGAGGAAGCTACCAACTGGGCCGATGAAGTTGCTGCTGAAACTGTTGCCGGTGCCGAAGATTGGAATGAAGATGCTGTTAAGACCTCATGGGGTGGAGATGGCAATTTCTAAGCGCTTGTATACGCTATCTATAGAGTATTTTCTGTTATGTTAATACTCTAGGCGGTGGCCAAATGACCGAAATAAAGTAATTTTTATTGGTACGAAAATGAATTTCGTTTTATTTGCGACGATTTCCTTGTAAGGTCTTGCCAACCGCATTGGCATTTGTAGGGATAATTTGATGTAGTTGCAATTGGGTGTCAATTGTGTCTAAAATAAGATATGTGTCAAGCGCCGAACGAGAGTTCAATGCCTAAAAGTATGCTGCATATAATTCTATGCACGGGGACGCTATTAAATATTAATAGACCACTTGCAAATACCGTAATATACGAATAAAAACGCAGTGATTTTGTGTAAAAATAATTATTTTATTTTATGAATTTGTATATTTACTCAATTAGTAATATTATGAATTTTAAATACATTTAAATCTAATTAATTTCTCTAGCAAATAAAGAAAAAATTAGATAGTTCGAAGTAAAGGGTACATAAGTTAAACATAAATACAATATTTTCATTAGGTAAACGGACGAATTTAACGTACAATACACAGCATTTATATTAAAAATGTTTATACATACTTGCTTGTAATACATTAATTGAAAAAAAGAAAAATATTGGGAATTAGAATTACAAAATTTGCTTAAAAATATCAAAATTACGACGCTTTGATACTTGTTGACAATCAAAGCAACAAAAAGAAATATGAAAACGAGTAAAACTTCGGCCAATTTATTTATTTTCGTTAATATAACCACGCAATGGTTGGACAATAGTTTGCCATTGGATTAGTACTAAATAGGTACAATATAAACGTATAATAATTACATATGTCTGTAGTATGTATATGTACATACAACAAGATGCACGGGCAACAATGTCGTCATTTTGATGACGAAAATTGAATTCGACCATTGAAACGTAAAGTATGTAGTATGATTATTATGCATATGAATAAAATGGCATAGTATACAAGTACATATACATATTATTGTGTCTTAATTTAACATTTGCTTTGATGTGGCCATTTTGTGGGGTTTTTATTATTTTAGTTTAATTTTTTTTAACGCATTTATTTATTTTTTATTTTATTTTTTTTTTTTCTGTGGTAGTTCGCTATATATGTATATATGTTGGTTGGTATGTGTGTATGTATTTATATCCCCCAAAATTATTACAAGTTAGAAAAATGATAATAATAATTGTTATAATAATATTGTGATAATAATAACCATAGTAATAAAAATATAATAAAAACGTTATTTCATTTCTATATAAAAATGATATTATGTACTTATTTATTTTTGTTTTCTTATTGTTATTATTTCGTTTTCTTTAGTTCAAAGTGATATTTAAGTATGTAAGTATGTTTCGAATTATTTGCTTATTGAACTTGTTTTATAGTTTTTTTTTGTTTTTGTTTTTTTAGAAGGCGCTTGCAATATGCTATGTGTGTGTGTGTGTTGTTGTGTTCGAAATCATATATTAGGTATATTTTTTAAATATCTATTATTACTGTGTCTAAGGTAGAGAAATCTACTTGAAAGGATTTGGTCGTGCTTTAAATTTGGTGAGCTTTCGCAACTCCTTAATACGCAATTCCTCACGTCGTTTACGTTCCTCCTCCTCCTGCAAAGAAAATGAGAACGAGGCAAGTTAAAAAAGGTAATAATAATTAAAAAAAAAAATTATATACCTGCACATGAACATATGTATGTTTACAAAGCTAAAATAAATAACTTTTTTTCTTAATTTTTTGGCAAAGAAAAATTTCTTTGGACGACCTCATTTATCTCTTGCTTATTTTGATTTTATTCATAAAAATGCTAACAGATATAAAAGTTAAGGCGACATATTGATATTTGAATTGAGCACATGCATATAGTATGTGTGTCTGTATATACGTATGTATATGGAAACAGAAGATTTGTCCGCTGCACCTGAATGCCAAGTACTTTAAATCAACAGCAGTGATTAAATTTCAAAAAGCAACAAGATGACAGTGGCAGGACGACGCTGCGACGGTAAGCCCCAATGCGGTTAGATTAAATTTTATTATTAATTTTTTTAATTTTATTTTAACAGCAAACTTTTTCTATGCGATGAAGCACAGTGAGTTGGCGCAAAGAAAAACCAACAAATTTCTTGCCTTATTTCCAGCCACCAAATATGTATGTACAAATATAATGTATATTTAGAAAGTAGCTGCATATAAAGTATGTATGTATGTACATATGTATACACCGACGTTCAAATATGCATGCAGAGTATGGTAAATGAGAACAATAATGCTTTGCATATGGCAAATGGGTGCCAGAAGAAATGTAGAAGTGTACAAACAAAATACCAACAGACTGTGACAAACAATCCAAGTCACTTTAAGGAGAGGCTAAACATAATAACATACAACTACAACTACACATTTAATATGTGGTATGTAGTATGGAGAAACAGGCGCAAGGGCGTGCGGGCAAGCAGCCGACCAGCATATGAAGTCGACGATGCTTGAAGTTAACATGACTGAAAATAAATGAAATTATGGCAGAGCGAAAGTATGTACCTACATACATATATATGCATATATGAATGTAACAAAAGATAGGGAGATTAAAAAAAATTACAAAAGGAAATTTTTAAAAATTTAAATGAAGCAACAGCAACTACACCTACATACATACCACATACATATGGTCGCGTTGTGTTGCTATTTTTATTTTGAACCAAAAAGGCACGTGAATTGATATATCACTGCACACACATACATACATGCATAGAAAAGCGGAGAAAAAAAAACTGTCCTCAGTGGCTAAGAACAAATTAAATTGCCAGCCAACAGGCCAGCACCATGGAGCATGCAGCGAGAGAGTACTCACATGCATATATATATATATATGGAAGAATTGCCAGGTATAGAATGCATCACATACCTTACACTACTACCAACAACGGTGTTAGTTAGTATTGCGAGTCGAGAGTTTCGAATTATCGTTATATGTAAAGTACTTACATACATTTCTATGTATACAATTCATTCTAACTAACGGCTTATATGCCGCCAGCCAAACGCGGCTGTGATGTATAAATAATTTAATCGGCATATTTACATGCATACATATTTACCCACAATTCTTACACTACATCATTAGCGAACGACAAAGTACAATAAAATACTTCAAAAATAGAGAAAAAAATGCATTTTACCAATCGGTCAATACGATTTTATGAGTATGATTCAGACCTTAATTATGCACAACGTCACAAACTAGAAGAGCGAGCGTCTGAGTAAAATAAAATGCAAAAATTTTATAAAATATATAATTTGCTTCAGAACAAAACGCAAATTAAGCTAATTAATATTATTGATAGAAAAAAGAAAAATTGAAAATGAAATAAAAAAAAAATAAAAAAAAATAAAATAAAATAAAATAAAAAAAAATTAATAAAAATATAATAAAAAAAATATGTTTGTGAGAGTACATCGATCATGTTATTGTTATTATTGTATACCTAATATTATTATTATTATTTTTTTTTTTTTTTTTTTTTGTTGCTATAAATAATAAGTGACTCATGGGCATATGATAAGGAAATAATTTTACAAGCTTCATAAATTTGTATGGGATTTAAGTAATAAAAATAGAAACAAAAATAAAAATAAAATACATATGTACATATAAATGGCCATATATAAATACATATATATAATGTGTATTTTATTAACACTCTGCTTCTGAATCTCGCAAAAGGTTGAGCAGTTTATGGCTGAATATAAAAACGTATAGTTTTAGTACACGATAAAGCATGATTTTCTAAAACCTTTTGTGGCACTAAATTTTAACGCTATTAATAAATTAATTAAAAACTTAATAATACTAGGTAAATTAATATTTTTATACCTTCACATGTAGTAGAGTAGGCCTCCAATAATGGATGTACATATGTACATATGTAATTACAAACAAGTATCGACCACAAATGTAATAAATCATAGCGCGTCTTACTCATGGGAATTTTTCAGAACTTTGTATTTTATTGTTTTTTGTTTATTTTTTTTTTTAAAAACCTACATAAATACGTAAATACGTACGTATATTTCTATATGTACATGTGCTCCAGTGAAGACTGATAGTTTGTACTTTGCTGTGATTCATCGCAAATGCTTTAAGCTGAATGGATAAAAGCTAAAAATGTTTTAAAATGCTGAGCATGGAATATGGGATAAGTAATATAACATTCACACATTTATATATTTATTTGCGGTCATTGCTAAATTGCTCTTATCATAGCAGGATTTGTATTGAATTACGTACAGAAATCTGAAATATTGTTGTACAGTAGTGTGCAAAATATTTGCAATTGGGAATTACACAAAACTATATTTAGTCTTAATATTATTTATGAGCATATCAAATTTCTTATTTTGCATTTTTATATTGAAAATTAAAACTCATATCTGAGCAAATCGGTCGAATGGAGCCTCTTTTACATAGGTTTAGGTAGTCTGCAGTGCCCTATAAGCAATTCTGTTAGTATGCTTAAGTTATTTTGTCTAAGTTGTTTAAACCCTTTGGTATTGTAACCGCCCTTAAACCGTTTTGTTTGTCTTATCCCGTCACTACTGTACCAATACTTGTCTCTTATACTATATTTATCATCTTTGAAACGTAACAGAACCTATGTTGAAGAACGGCTCTTGCCCCATCAGCGAGCCTGAGGTAATTTCTCTCGGAAATTAGTCTTCTAGTGAGTCCCCTTCACTATGTAATTTCTTTTAATGACAGCAACTATTTTTATTGAATTTTTTTCGCAGCCAACTTCGCACTTAACTGCTTTGCTGTTATATATTTTAGCAGGCGTACATACAAGACTTGTTTCTAAACAAATTTTCTTAAATGAAGGTAAGCAAAAAATTCATTGTTGTTCTTGTTGTTGTAACGCAAAGTACTTTTTGGGGGAACGTTGCGGGAGTAACAGTGCATGGTCATATTAAAATCCGGTTCGTTCCGGTAAAAAGACCCGACTTTCGCAAGAACTATTGAATTTTAGTCGGCTCTTAGGACAGGCATACTTTTCCGGTGGTAAATTCTTGAACCCCTAATCCGCAGGGGGTGAAATACATTTTTAAAACTTTACAGTTGCATATTTTTTGCACGATACTGTATAAACATGCATACTCGTATGTAAAATATTAGTGCGTGTGTACGTATGTATTTACATACATATATTGACGACACTTTTAAGTTAAGCGTAGCGAAAATTAAACGCTACTAAGTACTTATCGCATGTACACACAATTAAACGCCAAGCAAGCGAGTTAACAGATAAGAAAATGCGAGAATGAAATTGGAATATCGTAAAAATAATAAATAGCGGCTTGCGAATACATACATACATAAGGTTTAAATAACGCACACTTCGGAATAAACAAGCTTAACCACATAAAATGAGATAAAAAAAAATTATAATTTTTTGCAGCTAATTATTACTCTCTTAAAGAAGGCTTCAGATTTTAAGTACATTCAATTTAGAGTTAAAAAAAATTACGCTTGCAAGGTTGGCAGCAACAAAGTCAAATTAATATTAACCGCATTTTAATAAAGAATGAATGAAAACTCAGTTTTTGCGGTTATCTTAAAAGCGTACGACATATGATTGTGTTTGTAAAGTTTGTATTGGGAAATTCAGATTGTCATATGATACTAATTACAAAAGTATTTATTAAAAAAAATACGTATATATACATATGTAGTTATTATTTACGCGTTTCTTCCCGTTTAATGCCATTACCATTAACCATTACTGATCGTTCGTATGTAGCTATGCATGTATTTACGGTAAATGAGTAATGAATAAGCAAAACATTGCGCTAAATTGAAGTAGAATATAGACGCATCTACATGCATACATACAAACACGAAATTTAATGTGAACAGCCAATAAAGCAACTTGTTTGCTAATAAACTTGCACAGATAAGATTAATATAATTCTTTTGTACGAACTAAGTGCCTGTGTATGCGAGCTAGTCTCCAGCGAGAGCATATATGATGATTCCCCGCACACATTTACCGTACTGTAGATGCTGATGCGCAAATGAATTATGTAAATTAACAAAAAAATAAATCAAATAAAAATATGAGACTGCGACAATCTCGTTGTACAAATGTACGCCAGCCAGACAAACACAAATGGAAAAGGCCCAACTAACAAAATGTTAAAATTAAAGTAGAATATCGCAAAAGGAAACGCTTACAATGTTATCCTTACTATTGTAAAATTATGCTTTGTATACACTATCAATGTGAAATCTCACCGTTTTGTAGGTAAAAAAGTTTCGTTATTCCTTTCCGCTTCCAGAACAATTGCCACACCTTCTTACTACCTCCGACTGTTTCTTGTTTTGACTGCTTCAATTCAATTTTTTCTTCTTTTTGTTGCTGCTTAACTTTATTATTTTGTTTATGTTTATTTCGCTGCATATTATCACACCCATTACTTCTTGTGACAGTTTGACTGTATCTACACCCTGGCCCGCCACCTCTGCTCTCGTTTAACAACCCACCCTCCTTAGTCTTTGACTGTACGCATCAGTTATTTACACTGGGTGTGTGACTGGAATTCAGCGCCGCGGACGATGCTGTAGACTCATCAGCCGACAATGTTGTGTCACCGTAAAAGCGTGGCTCATCGTGCGTTTCATTTGCGGCACCTTCCTCTTCCGAATCGTCATCACCAGAACTATCGGCTATTTTGCCAGCACCGGCGCCATTGCCATCCATGGACGCTGATTGTGCAGCATTTGATATGGCCGTTTTGGATGATTCTGCTTTAACTGCTTTCGAAAGTCGTTCATAGCAAGCGGTACAGACGCGTACAGGCTTAGAACTTTGCTGAGGCAGTAAAAACTTTTTAGAAGAACATGGACCACAGACAACAGCACCACAATTACGGCAATGATGGCGCCGTACAATCATTGTGAATTGGGTCTTTTTGCAGTGCATACAGTGAGTGGCTTCAGCGTCGGGCACCCAAACGGCAGCATGATTTTCTACTGGCTTTTTACCACTTTTACGCAACAAATCCTCCACACACTTGTTGATATGTGCCATCCACTCTTGCTTTTCCGTACTTGTAGCGGCATAAACAACAAATGACTTTGTTGTTGTACGTATGAGCCAGCCATTACGATATTGACCATTATCTTCAAGTGATTCTAGAGAGACTTCTTCCAAAGGCATAATATGTTGCTTGTTATATTTCTTTTTTCCAATTACAATATTACCATACACAAGTATGTCATTGAAAAGAAAAAATTGACGAGATTTTGGACGTTTGCGGCACATTTTTGTGAGAACTCCTTCACCAACCAGTACACGACCTGGAATTGCCAATGGTACACCGGAACTGCCGAAGCAACTCTCAACCATAGCAATGCGCCTGGAATTTGCTTCTGAGTTTACTAGACGGTCCACCATGTTGTCAGATTTCACAGGTAAATTTTAAATACAACTTGAGGTGTGGCAAATTTCGTTTAAAATGCTAAAAAGCAATTTGGTATATGTAGCAGCCGTTTACGTAGGTAGACGATGCAGTCGTTGGAACGAAGACACAGATGCAGTTCGATGACTCCCAAAACAGTTTAGGCTATTTGCTTTCGAAAACTTCTCACATTTAACAACTTCCACTTTCTTTTCTTTTAGGGGAGAATATCTTCTTTTTAGTTTAAACCGCAGAAATTATGTAAAAATTATGAGAAAATACAACTGGAATTCAATCGAAAATTACGTATTTGGCAACAAGACACTTTTCTGTTTTTTTTATGTTCGTCGTACCTGAATACAAAATCAAATATGCTCGAATATGAACAAAAGTCAAATTGCTCAATTACTTTTCTGCCTCATAATCATCACGTATTTTCACTCTTGGCAATCGGAATTTTTCTTATTCCCTTTGGGTAGCGAATCGCTGGATTGCTGGATTGCCAGATTGCTATGTATAGCCCAATTGTTTAAAGAAATTTCATAAAAGAAATTTAAATTCTGTTATATTAATTGCTAAATAAAAAATTTTTCATTTTAAAATTTAAGTAACTTTAGAAAAATTGAAATACGTTTTTAAGCCAGGATAGACGAAAATTTGCATCGGATCACAAATGTATCAAATGCTTCTGGCATCACTCGGGCAGTTATGAGTGACTGAATTCGAACGCACAAATTTACAAACTATGGTTTTTATTCCCTACTGTTTAGCTGTTGTGTTATTTTTTTCTTTTTGCTATCTGACGTTAGTCACTAATACGTCATCTATACAAATACGGACACACCATAAAACAGAAATTGACGGAACAAAATATTGCTTTCTCTTGTAATTTTTACATAATTGTTAATGATTTTAAAACACTAATACCCACAACCGAAACTATCCAAAAACCGAAAAAAGTAGAACACAAAGTAAAACGTAATAAAATCGTAATTAACCCCAACGAAAAACTAGAACAAACTGCAGGTTGATTTCGCTCAACTAGGAATTGACATTTGAGCTTTTTAAAAATATTGTGTAAACAGATTGTAGATTTTGACGTATAAACGATGATGCCACTCGTTCACATTTAAATGAATGCTACACAAGTTCATTTTATGTAAAAAAAAACCTTATTGAAATACCAAACACGAAAATAATAAACAATTGCACAATTGAAGTCTCTACTACCATGACAATACAAACGACACTCACATATACATTACTTTCGACATTAAAATATAGCGCTTTAAACAATTATCTAAGCGCTCAGCATCTATGCGCTGAAGTTAATATTTTTCATTTCAAAGCAATTCTATCATGCCGTCAAAGAACTGATTAATTCTTGATATAATAAATTATGTTTAAAAAATCAAAATATTTTTCTATAAGGTTTAGAAAACCGTCACACTCTTCAACTGGGAAAAATTATTCATCTATATACATATGTATAAAGTGTACGTTTGTTTGGCTTACAATTTCTACCTGTTTTTGTTTTTCTTCCATGGCTCGTTGAACAGTTGCATCGTACTGCTTGCGTTCCTGTAAACGACGTTCGGAATTTAGTTTGAAAGGACATGATACCAATACGGTTTGCGTCTTTTTCGGAATAAAGGGTTTCTCATGTAAGATGTTCGGTGGTCGTGGCTCAAACTTTGGCGGCAGTACTTGCTTTATTTGATCCAACTGAAATTCAAAAAAAATATCTTAGATAACTGCAGTACACTAATTTATTATATCTAACTTTTTGCTTTCGCTTTTCTTCCGATTCACGAGATTTTTTTAATACTTGTGGTGTTACTGCCACTGTAACCACATGTAAAAGTTTCTTGTCTTGCAAAGATTTGTGACAGGCGGTAAAATTCGGTACTGGTCTGCTGTGAAATTCTCTCATTTTACGTTCCTCCTCTAAACGTTTTTGTAGTTGTTCTTCTTTACGACGTTTGTATAACTCACTGCAATGGTAAGCATGAGGTGCCACCGACGCAGGCTGTTTGGGTACTGCTCCTTTAGACACTGCATTACCAGAAGTTGTAGGAGATGCGTTCGGCTTGATGATGTTTTCTTTCTTCACACCTGGGTTAATACGAGCTTTATTGCGCTTAATAAGAGACTCAGAAAAAACTGTAGGATTAGCGGCTTTGGTATGTGCATCGTCTATGTTGGATTCCGGATCTGTTTTGCATTTGTTTACACTTGGGTTTATACGTGCTTTGTTTCGTGCAATTAATGACTCTAACGCGTTCGTTGCATTTGTTTGCTGTTCACTTAATGGTGCTCTAACTGAAGAGTCATCACAATTTTTAGTGTTGTGAAAACCTGGATTAATTTTTGGCTCGTTTTTAGGGCTTTGTAAATTAGTCTTATTTCCGTCATTTAATGCAGTTATGCTTAGTTCCTTCAATGGCGAATTCGTCTCCGTAGCTTTCGAGCACACATCAATATTTTCCTTATTTTGGCTCGATTCAAATGTATCATCTAACGATATAGCATCTGAAAAAGGTTATTAAAAACTTGAATTGATTGAACAAAATTCATCGCTTTTTTATTGAACATTACCGATTTCTTTTATCAAGTCCATTTCTTTTGATTCGTCCAGACGCTCGTGTGTATTATGTTTCTGTTCTATTAAGGAATTTGACAAGATTGCAAATAAATTGAAAATAGCTGCATATTTTTGACAAAACAAATGCTTTGTGGTGTTGTTTTATTATTACTTACGGAAGAATTTTTGCGAATGATCTAATACATGGTTACCGACGTCGATGTCGTCCCAATTAAAGTCATTTGGCATTAAATACGACATAGAATATGTAGAAAATTAATAACAGAATACAAAAAGAAGCTGATTTACACAAATTATTCAGAAACTTTGGTACAAATAAATTTAGCGCCAGCGACGTTTTAAACTTTCAATTTGAATGGAATTCAGTTTCTTTAAAAAGCTAATTGGAAAAACCTTGCGTTAGAAAGAGTAAACGTGATTACATAGAAAAGTGACGTCTGAAATTGTAATAGAATGCGATGGTAAATGTGTTTTCGTCGTATGAACAGGGTGTGCCAAAAGTTGAAACACTTCAATTTTTTTTATTTTTTTATTATCCGACTTTGGACCTATTTGGGCGATAGTCATATTAGTTATTTTCGCCGCACTGCCCTTCACTCACCATCCGGTCTTACACAATTTTCGAAAAAGATAAAAGTCTCTGCAAGTGGCCCACTTTTATTTTGTGTCTTGTCTGACTATGCTCTAGATTCCTTACTACGCGTCACCCATCTGGTTGACAAGTTTGTACGGATCTTTTATCTTTCAGGAACCATACATTTCTCGCAATTGCGAATCCTTCTAATAAGACCATTGTCGAATTTTTTCAGATTATACGGAATTCGACTTAAATTTTCTTTGCAAACATCCAGATATTGCCCACATTTATTAGAGTCAATGCTCTTGTCACGATGGCAGACGGAAGACGTATGAACTTATGGTCATATCCAAACAAAGTTTGCTTTGTTAACGATATGAAGAAAGGCAAAAAAAAAAAAATAACCACAAATCACAAGGTTGTACAGTCGGGGAAAATCGTGCAGGACGTATTTCTCTGATCCCAGAGAACGCTGTAAAATTATGCGCGTTGTCATGATGTAAATAGTAGAGTACCGAAAATTCTCTTTCTTCCTGTTTTTAAAGAAATTTCTGAAAACTTTTGGTTACCATCTGACACTTTCCGGTGGAATAGCAGCTACGCTTTTAGATCGGGTGAAGTAAACTGACTACTTTTGATTACTTTTCTTGCTGGGTTTTGTGGATTAGATTTTATGAGTGGGTAACAGGAGCAGGGACTCCTGTTTGGTTTCTGTATCGTACTTATAGAACCAAGATTCGTCACCAGTAACGACTTTACAAAAATTGCTAGAGTGATCATTTGCGAATTTTTTTTTAAGGAAAAATTGAGCAAAAAGAAATCGAGCCTCGTTTTTGGCCTCATTCAAAATTCGTGGTACCCAACAAGTAGATTTCTTCGTGTATCCCAGATAATATTCGCAATACAGCCATGACATTCAATCCCAGATCATTAGCAATAATTTCTTGTGTCAATTGTGGGTTGTTGTTGTAGCGGTTCGTTAACCCCGCTTAGGCACAGGCTTGAATTAGTCTAAGTCGTCGAGGTCATCTAAAGGTAGGCCCAGGAAACGAGCTGTTTCGACGGGGTTGGACCAAAGGGAGAGGGGGGTTAGATGAGTAGGTTTGAGGGGGCATGTGAAGAGGTGGTTAGTGTCGTGCGGGGACTCTACACATGCCGGGTATACGTTAGGTATGCTGGGGTCTAGTCTGGATAGGTAGGAGTTTAACCTGCTACAATATCCAGACCTAAGTTGTGTCAGGGTCACGCGGGTCTCTCGAGGCAGCTCGAGCTCGTTGTCTGCAATGGGTGGTGGTATTTCTCCGAGTACGCCATTCACTGGAAGGGAGTTCATGAAGGTGTTAAGTGACTCCTGGTGAATGGCGTTCAGTGCTTGTCGATACGCCGTCCTGTCCAGCGATTGTTGTGTGTGTTGCTGGATCGTGTCCTTGAAGTCTAGTACTCCATTCCTGATGTGCCTAGGTGGAGGTTCAGCTTCTATTAAGTGCCTACTGGGGTGCTCCCTGCGGTAGCATCCCAGTAGGAACTGCTTGCACAGCAAAGCATTATGCTCCTTAACTCGTAGCATAGATGCTTCCCTGTGCAAGTGATGCTCCGGCGACATCAGGAGGTTTCCTGTCGCAGTCCTGAGGGCGGTGTTTTGGCAAGCCTGTAGCTTCTTCATCTGCGTCCCGTTTGTCCCCGGCGTCCAGATCGGAGCAGCATAGTTTACGACCGGCCGGCCAATTGCTTTGTAAGTAGCCAGCAAAGTTTCTTTATCTTTACCCCAGGTGCTGCCGGCTAGCGCTTTGAGTATTCTGTTGCGGCTCTGGAGTTTTGCGGCAATTGCGGTCGTATGCGGAGTGAAGGAGTGCAGGCTGTCTAGAGTTACTCCCAATATTTTTGGGTTATTTATCGTCGGAATTTTTTCGTCATCGACCTTTACATCCAGTTCAAGCCTGTACTCCTTCGTCCAGCTGGTGAAGAGGGTAGCCGAGGATTTTGTCGGTTGGATTCGTAGTTGTCTTGCAGTGAAGAAGTGGGAGAGATCAGCGAGGTAGCCGTTTACTTTCGAGCAGAGGTCATCAATATCCTGGCCAGACGCCATTATCGTACAGTCATCGGCATACGAGGTGAGGGAAACTCCTTCTGGTGGTGGAGGGAGTTTCGATATGTAAAAATTAAACAGTAGCGGGGAGAGGACACCACCCTGCGGAACCCCCTGTTTAATTTTTCTGGGTTTAGATGTTTTACCTCGGAATATTACCGATGATTGTCGACCACTCAGGTAGCCCATGACCCACCTCTGCAACCCCGGCGGTAATGAGGATTCCTCAATGTCCGTTAGTAGCACTGAATGATTTACTGTGTCAAAGGCTTTTGACAGGTCCAGTGCTACTAGGACAGTTCGCGCGCAGGGTCGGTTTTGGTTGAGGCCATGGACTATCTGGGTGTTTATGGCGTTAAGTGCTGTTGTGGTGCTGTGCACTTTTCGGAAGCCATGCTGATGCGCTGCTGGACGCAGATGGTGAGTGAAGGTCGGGAGCAGTAAGGCCTTAAGTGTCTTCGCTACTGGGGAGAGGAGAGTTATCGGCCGATAAGACTCTCCTTTGTTGGCTGGTTTCCCCGGTTTTAGTAGCGGGACCACCTTACCCATTTTCCACACGTCGGGTATCTTCAGGGTGGTCAGAGACAGATTGAGGACCCTCGCGAGAAATTCTGCTCCCGCTGGTCCAAGATGTTTCAGCATCAGCATGCTTATTCCGTCGGGGCCGATGGATTTGGAGGCTTTCGCCTTCCCGATGACCCCCTGAACCTCCTCCCTGGAGAAATCAAGCACCGCGCTGGTGTTTGGCAGTTTGCGCATACGGCGGGTCACACGTCGTTTCGCTTTGTCTACCGAGGGATGCAATGTAAAAAGACGGCTAAAATAGCTCGCGCATCTCTTCGGGTCCGACGAGGCGCGATCACCGAATGAAATTTCCACCCGGTCATCGCGTCCCGTCGGGTTAGACAGCGACTTGACTGTGGCCCAGAGGAGAGGTTGCAGGTCCTTAGGTGCTCCTCCCACCTTTTCCGCTTATGACTGTTTACGACTCGTCGAATCTCCGCGTTTAAATCCCTGATTAGGGGATTCCCGGGATCGGAGCTTCGAAGGGTGTCGCGCCTGGTTGCAAGTACCGCCGCTTCTGTCGGGAAATTAGGGCGGATTTCCGCAATTCGGCCTGCCGGGATGAAGCGGGCGGCAGCGGTCACGACGACCCTGCGGAATGAGCGTTCACCAGCGGTGACGTCAGTTGGAGTGGGAAGAGCACTAAAGGCGTTCTCGGTAAATTCCGTGAATCCGGGCCAGTTAGCTTTTTTAAAGTTAACGAATGTCCGGTGGTCTGCGGAAACAAAGTCGGGAGGCCTGTCAATCGAGATATGTATGGGCAAGTGGTCCGATGCTAACGTCAGTATAGGTCGCCAGACTATACTGTTTATCAGACCAGCACTCGCAATTGTTATGTCTGGCGAGCTTTGGCAATTACCCATAACTCTGGTGGGGGTGTTATCGTTCATTGTGCAGAATGTCGAATCGTCTATCTGTTCCGCCAGCTCCATTCCTCTACGGTCATTTGACAGGCTAGAATGCCAAAGATCGTGATGCGCGTTAAAGTTGCCCAAAACCAAACGGTTTTCGCCCCTGAGTAGCGCACCTATGTCAGGGGTGTATCCAGCTGGGCAACTTGTAACTGGAGGGATGTATATATTAAATATTTCGAGCTCGACATCGCCTGACCGGATAGCTATGCCCTGACATTCTAGGGTAGTATCACTGCAGTCGATGTCGCCATCGATGAGACGATACTGCACGGTGTTGTGCAGGATGAACGCTAGGCCCCCGCCATGGTCTCGCTCGCGATCCTTGCGGATTATGTTGTATCCGGCCCTGTTCAGAAGATCTGATCGGGCGGTCAACTTGGTTTCCTGGATCGCAGCAATTGACAGGTGCTCCCGGCTCATATAGTCGACTATCTCGTCAATCTTTCCCTGGAGTCCGTTGCAGTTGAATTGTAAAAGTCGAGTCTGTCTCGGGGGAACGTTCGTGATTCGGGGAGTGAGGGAGTGATGCGTGGATTGTGTGTGTTGCTGCTGTACTACCCGCGGGAGTTGGTCCCGCACACTGGTGTTGATTGGCGGAGGGTTTGTAGAGACATTCGGGGGCAGACTCCTACAGCATGGGGCAACGTACGCATCGCTCCACTCACGGGTGGTGCGCAGGCCATAGCACGTCCGAAAGTGACACCAGCCAGAGCAAAGATTGCATCTGACTGAGGTCACGTTCCGACGCACTATGGTCTGACACACGGAACAGACAGTGCGGGGGACTAGGAGCTGCTGGGTAGCCCTCGCACGGGAGGAGGATGAGGAGCTGGTTGTGGGTGGGGATGGGGGTGGAGGTTGGGGGGAATCATGCTGCGGGGAGCTCCGTAAGACCGTGGGGGACTGCAGATTACCCAGAGTGGGTGTGTGTGCTGAAGGCACTGCCGTGGAGGCTGAGGGGGCGGTTGGACGCTGGCAGCATGGGGCCACATAACTTGTGGTCCATTCCCTGTGGGTCTTAAGGCCTGAGCAGGTCTTAAGATGACTCCAGCCATTGCACTGAGTGCATCTAACCGAGGTGGATGAATGGTGGAGTCTTCTTGCGTGGTGTTGCTCCGTTGACATACTTAGACTAAGGTTACCTGTAGACCTAAACGGGGTTAGGTCTCCGAAAGGGTGACAGCCCTTGGCCGGATAAAATCCGGGTCAACTCCGGTGCGTAGAACCGGCTGTCGTGAGAGTTGTCAATTGTGGGTCTTCGTCATCAGTGAAATATTTTGGCCGACCTTCTCGGGGCTGATCCTCTTCGGAAAAATGTCCGGTCTGGAATCTTCGTAACCACTTAGAGATAGTCTTTGAAGACAGCGCAATCGTTCCATATGCAATTTGGCATTCAATAAATATTTGTATTGACTCTAAGTTACGCCGAAATCCGAAGAGAATCACATGACGAATTTCTGTTTGCGTTGGTGATGGAATTTCATCAGACTTGTACTCAAATATCTTGTGTTATCTCGTCTCGATTTCAGCCGATCGTTCTAAAATTTGAAAGGAAGACTAATAAAGAAATTGCAAAGGATTTGGTTTTTTAGATTTAACAAAAACAAATTGAAAGCCACCAACTGACCGAAATTTTATTAAACCACTTGTTATACCTTATTTAGACAAATTCTTAGGACGAATACTTTTGAGAAGCAGTCTCGTTTATGGGACACAACTTGTATATAAACATATTTGTTGTAAAACTGTACACAACTACAACGGCTGACAGGAGACTTGTCTGTTTTCCAAGCTAGTTTTCATTAACTTTTTTTTTACAATTTTAAACATTTTCCTTATGGATAATGACGAAAGAAGGACAGAGATATTGAGACTGGCGTTAATGACTTTTGCTATAAATATTTACATATATATGTATGTACGTATTATGTTAAATATAAAAATACATATCATTGCTAATCTTCAGGGAAGTAAGATATTCTAAACAAAACACACAACAGGGAGTCATTGATGGACCCTTTAGCGATGGAGGAAACGAATCAAGACGTGTGGTTTTCAATGAGGCAATCCTCGTTGGTCCTTTTGACAGCTGTTACTCGATGTTAATCCACAAACCATTGTTGAGACCTCAATTCAACTCACAGTTTAGTGTGACCTATGGGTATAGGGAATCAATAGTCCATATTTTTCTTCTAAAATGAAGCCGGCCATAATGTTACAGCCAGTGGAGAAGTCAACAGAGCAATGATTAATAACTTTTTCATGCCTAAATTGGCAGAAGTTTATGTGAACGATCTTGGGTTCCAACAAGACGATGTTACATGCCATGCAGCCAACGAAAGAAACCATTTGTTGAACGTAATTTTTGATGGGCACATTATCTCGCGCCGTTAGCGCGATCGTATCGTATCGTGTCGTGTCGTGCGAGTTAACATCGCGGAAAGAAATTTGGTGGAATTATGTGTGGTCGCTCTTCTATGCTCATACTCCCGAGCTGATTAACAAATTTTATTTTTTCTTGAAAACCTCATGTCATACCTCACTACTGAAACAACAGCATGAACATACCTTGCTACAAACTGCGCATATACATATAGATATGTATATACTCAGAAATATGAAGAAAAATATTGAAAAAAATTATTCGAGTGACTTTGGTGGTGAAAAATAGACTGTTCACTTTGAGGTCAGGGTCATGGCCTGTTTGGACCAAAAAAAAAAAAAACATACCACAAATTTCCAACTGTTGGTGATAAGAGATAAAAGCTAAAATGAAGTGAGCAACACGCGCACACTCTCGTTATTACCTGCATACATACGTATATACAAACATACATACAAACATATATATTAATATATGCATTCATACATGCAACATGTTTTTTTTTTCATGCAGTTAGGCATGACCTTGTTGAGAGTACGGGACCACAACAGAACATAAATAAACTTGCGCACCAATACAAATGCAACTTCGAATCCTTGAACTAAAAGTTAACAACACAGCAGCAGTAACAGGAACAGGAAAACAACGTTTATGGTGGGTTGCGGTTAGGAAGGAATAACGAAAATTTTTATATAAAATTTTACATAAAAATATACATACATATATACATACATATGTACATATATAATGCAAGAAATCGAATGTAGATTTATAAATACAATTTTTAAGAGGTCATCAAAAAATTCAAGCGCCATTTTTTAAAAAATTGTCAAATGCATTTGTTTTTATTTCGCTAACTTTTGGGTAGACGGATAGTAAATGTATTTAAGTAAATAGATATGTATGCATGTAATCTATGTTTTACTACTGCAATGATAAGGCGAACTGTAAGCAAAAGCTTCTTACACATATAGTTAACTATATATAACACACATGGAGTGTATGTACGTGATTTCCAAAAGCTCTGGCTAGTGTTCTCATCCTACTGAAGTGGAACCGCCAGTAGGTTTAAATTGGTAGTATATATAAAAATCGTATGTTCGCTTGCAAAGATCCGGTAAACTTCAAAAGTTACCAAACGGCTGATTTGAAATCTTTTCAGATTGTTTCTATAGCCTTTGAAGGCAGGTTTATACAAACAAAACTTTTTGGAAGTGTGCGTGTGTTCCAAAGACTGATGGGACTAAGGTAAGAAATCGTATTTTTGATTGAATTTTTACAGCAGGACTACTCTTCTCCGCTATTCGAATAATTCATACTTATCTAGAATTCCATTTATTTGAAATTCGTTTCATAAGTGGCTTTTTGCGAAAATTTATGGTTTTGCTGGATTTTTTATTTAATTAAACATATGCATGGTATGTACTGGAGATTTGAAACCAAAGTTCGATTTGCTCAAAACATAAATAACACTTTCTTTACGGGATAGGAATCACTGACAGACTGACAAAAATAAGAAAAATAAGTAACTTTGTCGGAATTTACAGTTAAATCGAAATACAAATCAACAAACTCGTAAAATCAAAGAAATCAAATAATAAGCCCAACGACACCAGAGGCGATATCCGCATAACGTATGGAATATGCCAAGTCATGATTGGGAAGCGTCGAGATTTAAAATTGTTCAGCTACAGAAAAAATAATTATTCAACAGCTGAAATTTAGTAATTATGGAATTTTAAAACTTAATTGTTGAGAGAAGTAAAAATCGTGCTTTTGATGCTAAGAAGTGAGTCTGAGAGATCAAAGGTGCTGGAATGAAAATTTAAGATTGTGACACAATCGGCGAGAGCGTGCATTCAATTCATAATTTGTTTTACGTGAGTGTAATAGTAAAAGCCTAAACTGCCTAGATACACGAGTTGAAGCATTAAAGTTTACTTCAGATAAGAGCCATGAACTACAAATTGATTCGTTAAGAAGTTTCACTACGAGCAATGCGCCTAACATTTCTCTACGACTTGCGAGTGTAGGTAGATTTAAAAGCTTTAAGGGGCACACCTAGTGTGAAATTTCAAAAAAAAAAATCTATCTTTTTTCATATTTCGGTAGATTACACCTTTAAAAATAACATATCAAAATTTCAAATCGATATCTCAAATAGTTTTTGAGTTTAGCAATTTATAGAGCATCCGCTCGGCAGCTAGAGAGTCTCATTAGCTACAAGTGAAAACAATCATTTTATCTTTAAACGCGTTTTTCTCGAAACAGCATTTTCCGAATTTGCTGCAGTGATTTTTCAAAAACAAATGATCCGATCACTATATCGAATTTTTTTTACATGTTCTATATATAGTTCTCCGTACAATGACCCATGGATATTTGATCTCATCAAAAAATCGAATTTTGGCAGGCCAAACACGACCAAAATTTTGGGGAAAATTCGACTTTTTTTTTTAAAACGCCGCTATTTGTCAATTTTTGATTTTTTTTTTAACGTAGATCATTGTACAGACAATATTATCTAGTTCAACGAGAATTTTTTTTTTAGATTTCATCCACGGAGAAGGCCGGAATCACTGCAGCAATGAAGGACCTTTTTTTTGCGAAGTTGAAGATCGACTATAACTTAAAAAAATATTTAATTTTTTTCTTCAAAAGTTTCACTATATATTCTTGAAATATGTATAAATATATTCTTAAAATTTTGAAATAATTGATGAAGTATTTTTTTTAATAAAAATTCCCAAAAATCACATTCTTTAGGCCATTACACTAGGTGTGCCTCTTAAGGGATTACATAGGTCTTGAAGACTAAAAAAAGCTTACTAACTCTATTTTTTTTAAAAGATACTAAATAAGGTATACAATTTATTTTGCTTACATATATAAGTAAAATATGTGAACAATATTTAATGAAAATTTGAATGAAAAATAGTATAGGTTAAGGCTTTGGCAGTGTCGTGAAGTATACCGTCCACAAGAAAGTGCTTTCGCGGCCGTCATGATAACTTTTGCAATTTTTATCTGAAATCAAAAATCTAAATTTTTTCTTAAAGTAGGTGAATTTTTTTATCTCTGAATGTGGAAAAATTAAAAAAAAAATTAAAAATTGAATTTGAACGTAATTTTTTGCACAAAATTAGGCCGCATATTGGCTTGTAAAATGAGTTTAAATCAAAGATAAATTAAATTCTTCGTTCAGGGACTACAAAATCGTGCTTAAAATAAGTGTGGAAAATTCGAACTCAATCGCTTCAATAGTCGTTGAGAAATTTTGACTACCGATTTCGATAAAGAAATTTTTAAGAAAATTGCGTTTAAAGTGTCGCTATCGGTCAAGCCATGACAAAGACGGCGGGTTATAGAACTCTCTAATTTCTACAGTTTCGTCTCAACCGACTTGAAACTTGGGGAAAATATTCCTGACACTTTGTACTTTTATACAAAATATTATCCAAAGAAATGAATTTTTTGAAGTTTCAAGACCTAAGTAACCCCTTAATCGATTGGGAAGATTTATAATAGAGTTCCATTGGAAATGTCTTAATGCAAAAAATCAAAATTGTTTTTGAACAGACTTAAACTTATCGGAATGAACCTGATAATTGGGGTTCTATATCAGTGTACCATATTGTAATATTGGCCTCACCAAAGTTGTCTAAAATGCTTTAGTTACAAGAGGGTATTTAAAATTTTTGACCATCTTTTGACAAAGGCATAAGCATTTTTAGCTTTCAAGACAGTAGCACTGATATGAAGGTGGAAGTTGAGTTTAGGGTCCATCATAACCCCCAAATCAACAAAGTTGAAGCTGAAAATGTGAGTAGTGTTTACGGTTCTGATACTGTAATTAGTCAATTTTCACAATTTTGTTTTAGACGATTTCGTTCTGGTAATTTAGGCGTAAAAGATGCTCCACTGTGTGGTAGATCAATCGTCGAAAACGTCAACAAAATAATGAAAATCTTCGAGTCTGAGCGTCATGCGAAAAATTTTTCGATTACTCAGGAGCTAAAGATTGTAAAAAAAACTCTTTGGAACCACTTCAAAAAGGCTGAATACACAAAGAAGCTCCATGTTTGGATACCACATGAGTTAACGAGAAAAAATCGTAACAAAATCGCTCTCTTTCTGAAGTGGATGGTGATTGGTGATGAATAGTCTATTTTTCTATGAGGGAGGCATTTATGAGATGACATTACCTTCAAGATGGGAAAAGTGATGGCAAAAACTGAGTACATTTTACAATACTTACATCAGATAATTCTAATTATGGTAAAAAGTCTGGAATTCAATGCAAAAATAATGCATTACTTTTTACCATATGTGGATTAAATTAGTAGTAGATTTGAGATAATTTCATAAAAGTAGAGTAAATATACTACAACCGCAGTGGGCGGAAACACTGGGCGTTTAGCAGAAAAGCTTTGAGCTTAACACAACTGTTGCTTTTGTAACTTCACATTGCTGATACGTGAACTGTTTCAGAGATTGTGTGAATAGGTTGGTTAGAACGCGAATCAGTTGACTGATAACAGCGACAGGACTCAAACAGGTTGTCGGAAAAATTTTATTCAACTGAAGTTTGCGTCGTGTTTAACTGGCAAATTATAAATAAATACATAAAAGAAAACAATGTGCGAAAGCGCGGCAAATTTGTTTTTGTATGCGTTCAGTGAAATATAAACAAAACAGATGAAAAATCTTGTAAAGTTTCAAGTGTTGGTAATAATTGTGCATGAAAATCACCATTGTTTTAATGTATATGTGTGTGTTGACATTATTGAAGGATGTATAATATCCTTGATAACGGTACAGGGATAAATGCGAGTAGAATAGATGACCGCAGTATTGATTGGATTCAAGTGTTGGTAGTGGTAACAACAGCGAACTTTTTACAAATTTGTACATAAATATCTAAGTACATAACTAAACGTGTGTGTGTGTGTGCGTGTGTGTGTGTGTTTGGTTGCAGTAAGAAGAAAAATGTCAACAGATTCATAATTTTTGACATGTGTATATATGTATGTTTGTGTACTTATCATTTTCTATTGCCTACTTTAAGGCGACTTGCCCACTAGCTTTATGCGGCTATTGACAGTAGTTAATGAAATTTTCGGGTTACAAAGCGTTGTGGCAGGAAATGAAAACAAATGGGACTAATGTGACGGTTGCTGAATATATGTATATCTAGATATGCATTGTACAAATATATGTATGTATATTTAACGGTATTAAATTAAATGAATTAATTGAGCAAAATGTGAAAAGTGCCAATTTTTATTAATTCGAAAACTTTAATTATGAAAATATTTGCCTTAAATAAAATCTTACATTTAACATAAATGAGTGTTTAGCATTGCGTATGAACATTCGGATGCCAGCGTGCGAATCCTGGCTCGACCAACAATTGAAAATTACAGATTTTTCTCATTGCCGAGGCGTCTTTCGACAAGAAATGTCAACAGATCCGAGTATATTTCTGACATGAAAATCAAAGCTTCTAATTAAGATACAAATCCAGGAAGAGGAGGAGTTCTCAACGGCTACAAAGCCCTAATTATATATATGCAGTTTTCGGTGCTAAGAATTTAACGATTTTAAATAAATTTATTTTTAGTTTTTTATTTATTCTGAACTTTTTATCATAGATTTCAAACAGATTATTTTGAATTTAACACAGATTCTCGGAAATAGAGCGGAACAACCGATTTTTAATAAATTTTTATTATAATTTTTTAATTACATAACACTCTCTTGCTGACTTATTGGAGAGGTCAACTAATCACAAACTCTAACCTCGTCAGTTGTATACCGTTTTGAGACGAATGACATTTAATTTCTGACCTCGGACATTTCTTTAATGAACTTCACAATCCAGCCAGAGTAGCAACAATTTCTTTAGTTCCTGCATTGTTTCTGTTTCTTTATTTTTTCATCTCTTCATTACCTTTTCTTTCCGTCTTATTTAGCTCTTTCCTAATGATTGTTTTTACTGTACATTTTTTTTTTGTTTTTTTTTTGTAATAAAAGCTTCCTCGGTTAATTAAATTGAGAAAAGTTGAAAATATATATGTACATATATTTATTTAATTTTACCATTAAAACTAGCGAGCTGCGTAGATAAGCATGAATGATGTGTAGGTAGCAAATAATGATGGAACCAGTAGCTAATGAAACTTCTAATAAGTTGTATAGACTAGATATATACATTTATACGAGGGGATTAACAAAAGTTCGTTAATTTTTGTATTTATTCGTAATCTTTGTACTTTTTTATCTTCTCTACATAATTGCCATTGATTTCAATGCATTTCTCAAGCCTAAAGATACACTTCTGAAAACAGTAATCAAATTCTTGCTTTTTACGCTTATCAAGTTCAGCATTAACCGCATTAATTATCTGCTCGTTGCTATTCCTTTTAAATCTTTTTTTAATTTTTGGAAATAACCAGAAACCGTAAGGTGCTATATCCGGGGTATATGGTACTGGAGGTATTTCTTGCTCTGTCAGCAGGTTGGGATGGCGCGTTGTTATGATGTAAAAAGTAGCGTCGCAAATCCCATTTCTTCCTGTTTTCCAACAAATTTTTGAAAACTTTTGGTAAGCACTCTTCGGTGTACTATTTTGCAGTTCCCGTCTGACCCTTTCCTTGTCGAGTTGCAGCTTCGATTTTAGATCGGGTGAAGTAAGCTGATATCACTACTTTTGTTGCTGAATTTTGTTGCTTGGATTTTACGTGGGTTTGCTCCTTTTGGGCTCTATACCATGGACTACTGTTTGGTTTCTGGATTGTGCTAATAGAGCCAAGTTTTTTTTACCAGTAACGACTTTCCTAAAGTTTCTAGACTGATCATTTTCAAATTTATTTAGGAA